TACACTAGGTCGGGCGGTTCCCTCAACCCTACGTTCGCACGGCCTGCGGAAGTGTTTACACAGCAAAAAGTAAACGCACAATACCATAACGTACCCATGTGCCATGGGAGCGATACGCGGTTACGCGCTGCTGGCTGATATATTTAAAAATATGTAACTACAGTGTTCAATTCACGAAGGCTCAAACAAATTCATTTTAAATATCATCAAAAATATTTAATTGTAAGAATTCAAATGACATTTTTTAAATAATATACATACTTATATAATTAAATTATGTTACTACATATTATTATTTTGTAGGGTTATCACTTATCTCTAAAAAACTAATAAGCTAAACTAATGATATAAGAATGATATTTTTATAAATTATGCAAGTTGGTGCTGTCGCAGTGAGTAGACTATCTATCGGTAAGTGCTGAACTAACATCAAGCGATAATTACTCACTGAATTTGAAAGTATCCACAGGCGATAAAGTAATTAGAAAGGTTAATGTTAAGTAGTACCGTGTAAACTGCTGTCGTTAGTTTCGAAAACGACCACTAGGTAATCTTATAACCTTTAATAGGTCAAGTACATTACATCTAATGTTCACTTCGACGAACATTTCGTACCTTTTCTTTTTGTTGTGGCTTAGTAAATCAAAAATTCTTAAAATAATACTTACGTACATATTGTATTTCATATTGGATCTCCATGCTTCCTAATTAATAAATTCAAATATTTTTTTCTTCTCTTCCCATTTTTTTTAATATTTTTATACCCTGTATTTGAGAAAATTTTGTTACACATAAGAAATAAAATGGATGCTGCTGGCTGCAACTCAACATTTTCTACCTGCAATATTTGCTTAAGAAACTGCCGTTTTAGCGATAAGGGATCTTGTGCATTTGCCTACCACTGTATTGTCTTTGTCTTCTTTTTGTGTGTGCAATAAAGTGTGTTTGATTATTATTATTACTTACTTACGTATATGTATTGAGTATTAGTATTGAATGATATATATTTTGGGCAACATAAATATTTATTTACTTTTACATCCCCCAATTTTTAATAATCTCAACAAAGGTACGTTGACATTGTGCCAAATGGCTATTCTCGATAATTCCAAACAGCCAAAAGAAAAAAAGTCGACACAATGCAGGGAAAGGTTTCATAGGGTGGACAAGTATTTGTTTTTTTAGGCATATATGCATTTTTCGTGCTTTCGGATGTGTCTAGAAGTTGATGCTATAATAATAATTATGATAATTCAGCTATACTGTTGTTGTTTTGTTTTGTTTCTTTTTTTTTAAATATATCTAATTAATTACAAGCGAATATAAATACTTAACTAGATAAAAATATTCACTATTATTTATTTATGAAGTATATAATATATTTGTTTGTACATACATGTTATTAAGAATTCCCGTATAACTAAGGATATTATCATAATATTATTAATTCGTTTTTAAATATAAATCTCGAATATCTACAAAGAAAGTTGTGACCAACTTATTCTATGATGACTATAATAAGATAGCAAGAGAATTTATTATATTAATTTTTATTTTATTCATTCATTTTTAGGATTTAAGTTTTGTAAATATGTAAATGTTAAAATTATCTACGTGTTCGCCCCCTTTGCTTGCCAAGTCAATCCACAAACTGACGTAGAAGTACTTCAGATAAGAGCTTACTGCAGGACGGATTGAATGAAAGTTAATTGATATAAATTATATCTATTATTGACTAAATGACATTCAAATCAAATTCGTACGTTTTTAATAACTACTTATAAATATATAATAACGAGCCGTTCTTAATTGAAGTGTGATCATTACAAAAAATATTATTTATTTTTATTATTTCACTACTCCAACATCCCTAATATACTATACATACAATAGAACACTATACAATATAGGTACATGTATTACAATAATTCCTTAAATAATATCTAAAATAAAAGTAGCCTAAGTTACTCCTTATAACATTAGCTATCTGTCGGTAGAAGTCCCGTCAAAATCAGTCTAGCAGTTTCAGGGATCAGCGGGAACAGATACACAGACAAAAATTATAAAAACCGTGTTTTTCTTAAAAGTACTCTTATTTTGACATTACAACTAATTTAAAACTTCAATTTCATTTATTTATATAGATTTATAGATTTAGGCATCTATGTATAATAATATGGATTCCAAATGCACCTCTAGTCTATATAAAATCCGCTGAAATTGTGAAAACATGTAACGTTAAACTATGTGCAAGTATTAAATTACCATACACGTGTCTCTTAAAAATAGAATTGAGGAATGAAAATTTTAGATTTATTATCGCTTTAGTTGAGCACTAACAACAATCGCAATAACATTTTTTTTTTGTATTTTTTTTTTAAATAAATCCACGCATTAGGTATGGACGTTTTTTGTACATCTAGCTTTTTGACTATGATAGACATTTTAAAAAAAACTTATTTTAATGAATAATTTGTATTCAAGTCGGTTCTTTTAAACCCTCGCCTACCTATTGGCAAACTTGGGTCGTTTTTTTTACTATTACCTGTAAAACTACCTGCTATTCTGACCCGAGCCATTGGCGATCTATTAGACAGAGACCATCAAAGAATATATGGAATATTAATTATCAATTCATTTCAGAAGAGCAATGCGCAAGCGCAAGCAAAATATCAGTCAGGAGAATTATAATTACCTATATTTAAAATTTTATTATTCACATCAATATTCAAATACCAAACTTTTAACTGTATTATTAAAATTTTATTTAATGGGATAATAAAAGATTTTGGGTCCCTAAAATCACCAAAGGTCATGTTACAAAACTTATGAAATTTTTTCCCAGCAACATGTTTGCTTGAGAAATATTTTTACGAGTTTATTACAATGTAATTAGCATTCACAGGGTTCTTTTTTTTTCGAATATAATCTCAACAGTATAATTTTGAATAGTTATTAATGTGAGATCCACTAAAGATATTAATAAATGTCGAGTTTTTTCTCCGAATTCTTAAACTTCTAAGTATGTAATTTAAATTGTTAGAGAAGATTAATTATTAGGTCTGATGACTAATGGCTGGATAGTAGATTTTTAGTGATCAGTATATTTTAATTTTAACGCGAACGAAGAAACGAATATCAAAACGTTCGGGTTCGTTTACCTGCCAGTTAACTGGAAATTGCACAATCACGTGAAACATAAAAAAAAACCATCTCATAGATTTACATACAATTCAAGATGTTTGAGTTAAGGATGTGCTTTGTACTAGTGTTGTAAAGAAAAGGTTGTTAGCGTCAGGTTGTCGGCCCCAGCCTGTGACGTCACCTCACTGACCACTCCGGGACCGGCCACAATGGCCTTTCTCAGAAGGAGCAGATGCGCTTGCGCCGCTATTTACCGCACCCCTCCCTTCACCCTGCACTTGCCTGGCCCGCCAATATCGTATACAATATACAAAATGTGAGAAGAATTTCGATGATATATTACCTGGTCCCTGGTAATAAACCGCTTTCGTTAGTAATAAGAACCAATAAAAAACATTGCAAAAACTCACTCTTTATAAGCGATTAAGCTTGTCGGAGTTTTACGACATTGCGGGCGACGCGGGCAGCGAGGCAGGTAGACGCTGATTACCTTACTACAGCGCCTACCTGCTCAACGTATCATTAGTACGTACACGGTAATGATACCCCTTCGTAATGATCAGCACTCACGCCCCATGTCCTTGTGGCCGCTCGACGAACATCGCAACTTCCATGGATGAGTGTGGATCTAGTCATGATGTGGAAACATGCACTAAACCTCCACTCATCGAAAGAAATTGACCTGTGGCGGCATCCAGTACGCACTGCACGCACTATATGCGACGTCACGTTGCACCGAACCGAACGTTAATAAGCACGTTTCGAACTGACGTCGCGACGGCACGACCGCGCGGTTCGACCGTTCACCGCGAAATAAACGGTCGAGATTTGAAATCTGGGAAGCTAGACGCTGCGCGTGCGGCGGGGAGGGGGAAGCCCCGACCAATGGCGGGTGAGCGCGCGCAAACCGTGACGTGGTGGGGCAAACCGCCGCGCAACACTGATATTATCTTTTCTTGAAGAACGTTATTTTCTTTCCTACTCGCTCGCTCGTCCGTTCAACCGACAGCGGAAGTGAAATGAACGTGCGCGTACACTATAGACGTGATGGTAGTACAGCGACAACCGCTTGTACACCTGCCTCAATGCCCCAGCCCCCATGCTAGGCTCCTGCGTCTTCCCTTGAGTTTGTACCGATTAAAGTTCAAATCATTCGAATTCAATTGACATTATCAATGATTAAAAACAATTGAACAAAATGAAAATGACTTCATGAATGAAGTATATTATAGGTTAATATTAGCATGTATACATAAAAGAAAATTCAAGTATATTACGAAATCTTTATTACCGAAAACCATAACAATGGATCGTTTCTGAGAACACGAAAATTAAAGCAACAGTCGCAACAATAAGCTTTCACAGTATTGATTTTTAATAATCGTGCAAAATCATTATACTTCAGACAATCATACACTTTATAACGATGACATTAGAGAAGAAAATTCAAAGTTGCGCGCTCACTAATAATAATTTATTCTCGGGGAATGTGTTACATAATTTAGTGTGTAATAATCGTACAGCAAACACTGGCGTGAGAATAATCACTTTCTGTATTTATGGGAAAATTTCAACTGAAATCGTCTACTACTGCTGTTTAGATTAGACCATAACACAATTTTACATTCAAAAATACCATAACGTGGAGACAAAATAAGCAAATATACAACGTTTTGTAAAAAAATAAAAAAAATCAAATTTCTATAGTTTACAAAAACATTTTTAGAATACACTTAATACTTATAACAAAAATCAAGAAATATTAAGCATGAACAATAAAAATAAAGAAATACAAAATTATATAAAAATTTCAAATTGATATAAGCAACGCCATCTGTTATCGTTTCAAATAACTACGGGTCATTGTTTGCCAAAATTATCGTACATCCCAAGTCCGTTAACTGCATTACTTCAGCGCCGCCATCTAACAGCCGGTGAGAGCATATAGCGATTTTCTCACTTATAACGCATTTCTGTTTATTTGTTAAATGGCCACTATTAACCACTGTTGCACTCAGTTGTTCTAAGAGTTGTGACGCTGAGTATGCGTCCATGAGGAAACTGTAACAAATACATATAAACATGGCTTAAATACATACATATATAATAATTTCTTAGATTTACGCGCATATTTGACATTTTTAATAAAACTATCTTTTCGGATTATTTCGTTGATTAGAAAATCAACAAATATTGTAAGGTACTTTGGTGCCATTTTTGAACTCATTTTTGTAAAATAGTGGGTAGGCACCGTCTGTAACAAGTATTTATCGCCTTCGAGACGTCTAAAACCTTAGTCTTTCCCGTGACCATGATTGCTGTAAAGCATTCGAAACGTCAGGAACCAAAAATCAAAATAAATATTGTTTCGTGCTATTTCCTTTGGAATGAAGATAAACAGAACCAAATACCTGACTAGTCTCTTTGTTTTGTAAGAATAGTTTGACATTTTCACCAATTAGATATTATTTCCAAGCATTTAACCATTCCAACCTCCTTTTTTCAACTTATTTTAGTTAAGCTAATCGTAAAATAAATAAAAATAGATACAACAATAAACTGCACTAAACAAATGAATAATAATGTTTTGATATTTTAGTATTTTTATAACGTAATTATTAATATAAAGATATGCTATAATGTGCACTTACTTTTCAACAAACTCCTCTAGCTCACGATAATTTTTAAGGCTTAAATACTCATTGACCAATTTTTCTGGTACTAGTCCTGTCACCTATAAAATATTTCAAAACAAAATTTAATCAGTCTTAATTTGTATATGTAGTATAAAAATTAAAAAAAATACATGTATGTAACCTTTAAACTTGTGTTTTTTTTTTAATTTCAAAACTGCGAATATATTTGAGAACCGATATATCAACATTTATGATATCATAAAGTACAAACTATCATTTACGGTGATATCCAAAATGATATTATATTATCAAGGTTGTAAAACTTTAAAATTATTATTTTTAAACTACGCCAATTATTATATCACATTACACACAAATACCACACAAATGTAAACATGCCCTTAAGTCAACAAGTCAATAAAGATTTGGAAAAATTCCAGCCAATGAAGATTCGGAAATTATTACCACATAGTAAAGCGATGGGTCACAATGATTTATTAGTATTAACTTTTTTTTCATATCATTATCTTCTTATATACTTTTATATTACAGACTGGTCCATCAATAAAAAAATGCCTACACCACGCAACATCTATACATACTCGTACAATAAAATTGTAACTAAGCCGAATCTGTACATTAGATTTTTTTAAAAATCTTATTGAAATAAACGATAGTATCGATACAGAGGCCGAATCTATAGTTTTTAGAATTTTTGTCTGTCTGTCTGTTACCGCATCACAGAAAAACCACTAGAGCGATTTTGATAAAATGTGGTATGGTGATACCTGGTTATCCGGGTCAACATATAGGATACTTTTTACGGCGGGAAAATATCTCAGTTCTGAGAAAAAATACAAAAACTGCAATGTAAGAGTATACTAATATGTAAAATCTAAGAATTTGGTTTTTGGTCATCTGAACGCGGGCAGAGCCGCGGGCAATGCTAGTATGAAATAATTGTAACAAATATTAATTTAAATATTGACTAAATAATTAAATTTAGGCAATACTTAAAGCATGGTGTCTGAAAAGAATTAAGGTGATATTTTTTAAATAAATGCTAAGCTGCGTCTTCACAAAAAAACAATCAACTTAGAAAACATGATGATAAAATTTTTGCAATATAAGATGAAGTTTTTGTTACAAATTTGATCAGAGTACAATGGATATTCAATGAATCTCTTCATCTCAAAGCACAACTGTCCACGCACATTAAAATTATCATTTCGTATTCGCCGAAATTTATTCGCTCCTAATAAAATTCGTCTGTGTGGACGCCATAACTAATAATAATACATGGCTAAATTGTAACTAAGCCAGTGGTAACGCGCTCGCTTGGAAAACCTAGTGAAGCGGGTTCAAATCACTGGTCTGACACCTCTGATATTTTCATGTGCAAATCATTTCTAATATGATTACTACTTGTCTTACGGTAACAGATAACATCGTGAAGAAACCTGCATGTCTGAGAGAACCTAGCAAGTTTTCGAACGGCATGTAAAGTCCGCCAACTCGCACTTAACCAGCGTGGTGGACTAAGGCCTTATCTCTCCTCGCATTGATGGGAGTCCCGTGCCTAGCGTTGAGACATCTTGTTGGGAAAAAATATGTTTGATTTCGCCAACTTTTTGACCGTCCTGAATTGGAGCGAGCCGATGTGCAGTACGAAACATTAAGATATCGGGCGAAGGGCGCAGGGGGTAGCGGGTCGCCTTCTCTATGCTTCCCACTCACAATGCCCGAGAGCATATGTAGCTTTTGCGTAACACGTCTGTTCATAAACGACACGGCACATTCGAATACATACAAAATTCGTAACTAAGTCTTTGTTATAATATTTCTTTTGTTACTTTTTGTTGTGTTAACTTTTGTTATTTATGCCTCGCGGATGTTTTGATATGATTGATACGTTGTCAGGCATAAAAAAAGGATAGGACATCTTATAATTTATGAAAATAACCTCAAAACGGACTTAATTAGATATTTAAAATGTCTTTTTAATTTACTGATCAAATGTATTTAATTTACAAATCCTATTGATAGATTTTTTTATTATTATTGTACTCATGAATTATTTTATGGATGTGTGATGCCTAAATAGTTTGTATTAATAACACAATAATATGAATGGCAAAAAACAGTTAAAGGGATGTTCCTTTAAGTGTTTTTTCCAAGTTAACCGAGGGTGAAAATTACCACAGATCACATACCACTATATGTACAAATGCCTCATCCTATACAAAGAAATTGGACAGCTAATTCGGGCTATTTTTATTTGCTTGAATAAATAATAGATATCGTTGATTCGCAAATAGACTGTTTCATTTTATAAAATATGTGCAAACTAATGTTAAGTTATAATTTCAATTCATCCTGCATTTGAAATAAAATCAGATTTTAATAATTTTTAACTGTGATAAGGAATTCTTAATAAGTAAAAGCGGCATCTGTGAATATGTATACACTACAAACTCCTCATCTGATTTCAAATAATTCAATAATTAGTAAAATTGATTTATGGGTGTATCATTTCGTTGCCCTTTACTCAGAATACTTAAAACAATAATACACCTTTTTGGAAACTATTCTTTTATGTTTAGTTAATTTAACACAACTTTTCTAACAAATTGATACATGTAACATCATCTATTGACATTTATTTGAACTAATTTTTCTCTGTTCATGATGAGACCCCATGAGATTACTTTGAGAATCACAATATATAATGGAAACACTATCCCAAGAATGGAGAAGTTTCATGATGTTGCACAATGGATTTATAATCTAGATCAAAACTAATTAAATCAGTGAAAACATTTTTAAAATCTATCAATAAATGACCGAGATATTAATTTAAATTTTGCGCTTTAGGTCGTGTGACATCATGAAATTATCCTTACAAACACATCTTTAAAGTTTCATAACTTTTTCATTTGTTGAGATAATTTAATAATTCTTTCATACGTTTATTACTTTATGCAATTTTTTGAAATTAATACATAAAAAAAATTTAAAACTTCTCCATTGTTGATGTAATCATAGAAAATTTTATCATCAATGCATGTTGACAAATCAGTATTGCCATGTATATACTGTCAATTTATAATAATATTGTATAAAAAAACCTCAATCAAGCCTTCTGGAGTAATCTTTCCCAATAAGCGTTGACAGCATTGTAAAGCAGTAAGTGCTCGACGCAAATCACCTTCACAGGTGTCTACAGCCTGATGGAGAACCACACCATCTCCAACTTCTACTCCTTCTGCCTCACATACTTCTTGTAATCTTAAGGCAGAATTAAAAAAAATTGCAAGTTCAAGTAATTACATATAAATTAATTAATAATATGTAACTAAATAAAGATAAAAGTAGACTCATTATGCCATTTGATTAACATTTAGGAATTAAATTATAAGAACTGGATACACTTAAAAATAATAACAAAAACCTTAAAGTGAAAGCTTACCTTTTTATAACATTTTCTTTAGCCAGTGGTTTGAATCTAAACTTAGAACATCTGCTTGTTATGGGAGGTATAATCCTAGATACATAATTGCAAATTAGACAAAACCGAGTAGTTCGAGTCTCCCTTTCCATAGTTCTTCGTAATGCTGCCTGAGCAGCTGTAGTCATTGAATCTGCCTCATCAAGTATGACCAATTTATAAGGAGGGCATGGCCTACCACTAAAAATACAATAGAATGTTACTTTAAGTATTTCATCATAATTTGTTTAATATAAGACAGTACAGAGAAATCTTCTGCTAGTTAATAGTCTGCTTGTTTATAATTTATAATATATTCTATATATGTCAAATAAACACAGTCACTTAATTATAAATAAAATATAATGTTTAATCAATACAAAAATTATTGGTATTACTAACTCAGGTCTAGTGCTGCTAACAGTCAACTGAGCAAATGACTTTACTTTGTCTCTTATGACTTGAATTCCACGTTCGTCAGAAGCATTGAGTTCTAATACACGATCTCTTGTTATGTCCCCAAACAGTTGTCTAGCTGCTGCTAAAATTGCACTCGTTTTACCGGTTCCAGGTGGACCATAAAATAACAAATGTGGAAGATCTCCACCCGCTAAACATTCTCTTAAAACTTGAACCACTTCTCCTTGGTCAACAATATCATCTATAGTCTTCGGTCGACTAAAAATTAAAATAAGTTATAGCGTAAAATTTTAAGAAATATATGTAAATATTAATTAAAACAAAACTTTATCTTACTATTTTTCCACCCATGGCGCTGGAGGTTTCTTTTTTGTAGATTTAACTCCAGACGTGGAAGGTTTTTCGGCGTTAGATATTTTCCCTGTCTTAAGAAATGCCTGCATTTTGATTTAATTTGAGTTAACAGTTTATAATCCTAAATTATAACGAGATCCAACGGTTTCACTATATATTGATAATAATTGCGGCAGAAACGCGCTAAAATTGACTGCAAAAGTCAATATTGTCAATTGTCAATGACAGCTATCAGAATTCAGAATATTATTAAAATGTCAAATACATAAAGCTACCACTGACGACTATAAAAATATTTATACATGTACAATAATTGAAAAATTGTCAAATTTGTTGCGTTGGTGGTGATTTCCCTAGTGCAGCAGCTTACAATATATTATTTAACAGTGAAAAATTCAATGACTTTATCTTTTATAAATACGTATCCCTCGAGGCAATATTTACCTATCTGTTTATCAGTAGTTATTGTGGGCTCAAAGGTGTTCATTATTCAAAAAAATGGTCCACAATGCATCGTTCTACTAAAAATATAATACAACAAAAATAAATAGATGACGCTAAACATTTCAATTTTTATTCCATGAAGGAGATCGTAGGTTCGACATCCGTGCATGTTTCGTTTTTTGGCCAGATTCTCAAGACATCTCACCATGTCCCAGTTTTAACATCTTACACCCAAAACTAGTACATTATTTATAGAAAACCACTATATTATTGCGTATTATTTTATAATTAATGATTTAATACTACTCAGTTATAATGTTGATGTAAAAGATGGGGAAAAAAATAATGCTTAACAATGTCTATGACCGTTTAATCCAGTATCAGCTGAACTTAATAGTTCATATAATTGTTATAATAAACAAACCCTCATTAGAAAATAACATGAGCCATAAAATTTTTGATGCTGTCTCCAGTTTGCAATTTAATAACTATTATAAAAATAAAATAATATATCTTAAATATTATCCCTGTTGTAACTAATGTTGACAACATAAGTAAAATGTGGTACAACCAAAGTACTGAATACAAAGGATTAAAAAAAAATATATTTACTGCTGGCACTAGACAGACACAGTTGCCTTGAATATAAAATCATTATTAAATAAAAAGGCACTTGGAAAAATAAAGGTGGGGAAATGTAGTAAAAAGTGACTTCGTCACAGGCAAGGAACTGCCATATTAACAATTCACAGATACAGGATAAAATCATAAACTCCCATTGCCAACCTTCTCTCGCTACACGGTTTTTGCACTTAATAGTAAAAAATATCTGTTCTCATTTATTAAAATACATATTATATACAAGTAATTAAAATGAACAATCAATACTTTTCCACTCTTAAATCAATGTTAAAAAATATTTTACAATGATTTTGCAGATACAACTTGTATTGCGATACAATATAAAGATGATAATTAAAAAAAAAAGTTAAAATAAGGTGAGTACTTAATGTATGAAACAACACAATGTTACGAGAGAATTCCTGTATGATTATAAAACTGTATATAAAATGTCCATTGTACATTTCATTTGATTACATTTATCTCATGTATTATAAAAGTTATACAAGCATCCATCAATTAGTATAAACTAAGCTGGTATTCACTCAAATTAAAGGTACAGTTTGAACACTACACTTAACCAGTGCACAATGTTGATGTTATGTTTGTACCTCAATTTCACCAGTCCCTAATTAAAAGGATCAACTCCTCTCACCACAGAATTTCCTAGTTATAAAATTACTATATGTCATTGATTTAGTCCACAAATTTGAAATAAAGTCCACATTTCCACACATCATGTGACATGAAACCAACACATGACAATTTATGATAATTAATTAATGTTCTGTTCACTAGTCATTATTTAATTAAATGTTCTTCCAGTATATAACATTAGCACATTTTAATTTGTTGAATGTTTTTTTCCTTAGCAAAGCACTGTTCAAAACAATTAATAATCTATTTTATGTAACAATAGTTCAAGTTGTAATGCAACTCATTTAAGTCACATTAAATATATGAGGGTTCCTCATTACTATTTTATGCATGTCAACTTGGCATACACATAATGTACGGGGTACCAATTGTTTACTTGAGTACTAGTTGTCTATGGAGAGAAGCCAGTCCTCAAATCGTTCTCACATAGCATAACACACGATCAGTTGCGAGGACGACCACGACCACGTGAACCATCTCGGTCCTGTAAAAATACATTATTTTAGTATGTTGCTAACAAGAGAAGAATAATATATTTTTATAAAAACAAAATCTAACCTTATGATGAGGTCTATAACCTGAATCGCGATCACGATAGCCATGGTCCCGATTATCACGTCCGTCACGGTCGTCTCTGTGGTCCCGTGGGTCCCGCACGTCGCGAGGGTCCCGTGGCTCCCGTCCGTCTCGATATTCCCTTGGTTCTCGTCCATCACGATGTTCACGTCCATCCCGCCCATGTTGATGTCCATCTCTGAAGTCCCGATAATTTCGGTGACCACCTCCTCCACGGCCACCTTCGTGATCTTCACGAGCGTTATCTGGCACTGCGTGATGAGGTGGTGCTTTGCGAGAGTCCTCCTCTTCTTGACGACGCTCATAGTGAATGAAATCATCAAAAATAGAAGTGGAATGACAATAACTATGCATAATACGTAACACCTGAAGCCCCTTTGCGTGCGGAACTTCTTGAGTATCGCGAGAGTTTGTCACTGGTTTGTTTTCATTGTTCTCTAATTTGATATGACGGAGCTGAACATTAGGAACGTCTTTAACATATATCCACCTAACGCGAAATTGTCCCTTCCACTTGTCTTGCGACCACACGTTTGAGTTGGAATTATAATCTACGGCACTAATCATGCGGGCCATTCCACAGAAATGGCCGCTGCCATTCACTGAAAAAAATAGATACACTGCACCACCTTCCCGTTCGCGGTCCCGAAAAGCAGAGTCAAGCCGTTTGTTACCGTGTTCCGTACTACACCATATTTCATATTTGATGCTACGATGAATATCATCTTCCGAATAAGATTTTATTACAAAAAATCGTGCAAGAGGCGCGCTAAGATCGAATTCTTTCGGATTATATTCATTTTTTACGCGCAGCTCTTCTAGTACGGGGTGTGCTGTTTGAGGAGATGGATTCACGATCACGGGAGCGGGGACAGGAGTAGGGTGTGGGGGGCGTGGTTGGTGCGGTGGGGGCGCACGGGGGGCATGGGTCCAGGCTGGAGGGGGCTGATGTTGCGGGAGCGGCCCACGTTGCATGGGAGTAGGCGCAGGCGCCGGGGCCGGCTGCGGCATCGGCAATGGAGCAGGCACTGGCGGCGGTTGCAGCGGCGGCGGAGGCGGCGCCGTCACCACCGGAGCGCTCTTCCCTGCATCCCACGTACTAATGTCCATATTATGTTTCCCTGGCACTATTGGTGGAGGCGGCATACCGGGCCCCTTCTTCTTAAGTCCTCCACTCTGCAAAGACGGGGCCGGTTTGGCCGGTTGGCTCGCGATCGAGGCCCACGTCATCTTTTTGGGTTGCGGTCCACTTGAAACGTCTTTAAGCTCTGGCGTGCGGTCTTTATCGACCTTATTGTGCTCGCCGAGAGATAGTGCTTGTACACCTGTTTCCACGGCTTTAATCCCGTCGGGGACATACAATCCATCAGTTCTGTAGTAATCATCATATTGCTTAGCACGTCCTAATTGACCCCATGTAGAGTAATCACCATTTCCAGGGAAATAGTTAAAAGTCGATGGCTGTCCAAATGCAGCTGTTGAAAATGGCGTAGTGGATGGTCCGAAGACACCTGAAATACATTGATTTATAAAAAATACGTGTCATATTTAAAATAATTTGTCAATATACTTTAAATGATATAATATTCATTTCAGAAATGTTTTTTCTTCAATTTGTTTTGATTGGAATAAATACTAGCTACCATCCATGCCATAAGAATCGTGAGGATTGTATCCTCCAAGGAAAGTCATTGGGTCTGTTCCATTGGTGGACCATGTTCCATCCCCAACACCAAAGGCCTGATAAGGAAGTGCTGTAGTACCATAATAACCTGAAATTGCGAAAAAAAGACTCCTATACTTTTATACACTTATAATTTAGTTTTAATGAAATCTACTATGAACGTGACATCTACTTATAATAATAAATAGTTTAAGTCATATTCTACTATTGACACAGATGTTTAAATAAAAATATCATACTTATATTTAAAATTTACTTATAAGTAGGTATGTCATATGTGCAATTTAAGCTATATAGAATGTCTTTACATACATATGTTCTGTTTAATTAAGTATGCTGCGAGACTCTATTCATTTATATTAGGCTTCTAATAGACTATATGGTATACATGCAAGTGAAATGTCCACAAGATAATCTACTATATTAAAGAAAAACATATGGTATGAGTAAATACAACTTGTTTTCATATGACAATCTCACAAACTGAGATTATGAAAAATATTTACTTTAACTGCTCAACAGGGTACAAAGTGATAATCAAGACCAATATAAATGAATAATTTTTATGATTAATATAGGTAATCTAAAATATATCATTTGTCACTTTTCAAGTTGGATTCGTCAGACAATAACAATCCCCAACCATCTAATGTTTTTTTAAATATTGAAGATTATGAAGAATATGTTGTAAATGTTGATTGTTAAATGTCTGTAATTATAATAATAAAATTACTTGCCAATTATGTAAAATTTGATAGAAAATATCAATTACTTCAGAATGGCAAGCTTTATATTCTTTGATAATTTACTACGTATTTATAATGAAAAGAATCAATAGACATCAGGGTTCGAAATGATAATTATCATGATAAATATGGGTTGATAATTATCTTTGATAAATATAATTGAAAATATTTAATTTGTAACTCTTCAAATTGTCGATCAGCTAACTGAACTCTCTCAATTGGCTCAAAAAACTCAATCAGCAAACTGAGTTAATGCAGTTGAGGAGGATGGGGTTGATATTCCACTCATTAATTTCACTTGATTGTTAAAAGTGTATAGTTTATTCTAACGTAATTTATGATAGGCAAATAGTCAAATACAAATCCCTACACCAGGATTGCTAAGTTTATATCTGTTTGATAATTATCTGATAATTATCTTGATAATTATCGCGACAATTATCAAAAGATATATTTATCTTGATAATTGCATACTCTGATAGACATATGATTTGTTTTAAAAGTTTTGAACTTGTCTTCATGATCAGACTTGAAATTTTGACCCTCAAACAGAAGAAAAGAATATTACAAAATATGTAAGTCATGTATTTTGGACTATAATCATGTCTTTTGACTTATTAATTATGAAGTATTAATTGAGCATTGAGAAATGAAAATGATTATGTTCTCAAGTTAGTAATATTGAATGCTAAAAAATACTTCTAGGATTGACCTATATATTAAACTACCGGCTCACACTAGCTTCGCTCGGGTTCGCCTCTAAGAAAACAAAAACAAACCTATCCCACGGGAACCATACATTTTTCCAAGATAAAAATAGCCTATGTGTTATTTTAGACTATAACCTATCTCTGTGCTAACTTTCATCCAGATCCGTTAAGCCATTCAGGTGTGAAAGAGTAACCATCCATACAAACATTAACATTTATAATATTAATACAGATGATGCTACAGTCTTAATACTTGCTATTATCATACTTCAAAATTCATTGCATTACTGTCAAGGCCACCTGAACTCCATAATAATATATTGTTGTTTTAAATACCTATTCAATAAGCAAAAGCTAGGGCACTACAGTTTTACAATAGTGTAAATTATTTACCAAAAGTGGAGCCATTATGAGTAGGTACAGTCTATATTATGCAACATTAAGCTGTAGGTTTCATAATGAGTCAAAGAACATGCTTTGCAAAATAGCAGGCAACAATGGCAGAATGGGATGTTTAAATAGTAAAGTACCATTTCCATATATAATGTAGAAAAAGTATATGTACCTACCTGCCGCGCTGTAGGGGTCTGCTGCTGATGAGATCGGTGGAGCATAGGACGGTTGCTGCTGGTGACGCCATGACACCTCCGCTAACTCGTCGCCACCACTTTCTAACTGTTGCTCTTTAGGTACATTTGTCACTGTAATGACAAAAGAATTTATGTTATACACAACAATTCCAGTTAGAGTAGTTAGTTAGGTTCATAGGAATATAGTGATATGTAACTTTATGTTTAACTTATATACATTGGCAAAACCAAACATCTTATTTTGCTTAACTAGACTATGACAAACCTCTTACATCTCCAGAAAAAAGTTTTCTTGTCTTTCTCTATACAAGAACCCTTAGCTTTCACACACAGCAGATGCCATTTAGAAATATTCAATTAACATTATCATATAACATAAAATACAAAATATTAAATTATTAATTGAAAACTAGGTGTGTAAGAATTTAAACATTTCAAAAAAATTAAAGCTTATAGTTTCAAACTGAAATTGTACAATATGAAAATGAAATAGTGAGAGAATAAAAATGACATTTTAAACTATACTAGTGGGCACTTGAGAAATATTCAATTTCTGTTCCTACTTGTTGCTTTTTGATTCTACACGTAACAATAATTTCCTATTGTGTTCTACATGCATCAATATGTTGATAAATAATGCAACAAATTTTTAATAAATTTTGACAACATTTAATACAGAGCTATTTGATAATGCTTCAAGTAGTACCCACTGTACTAAAACTGCCTTGGTAGTGTAGTGGCTAGCATATATGGCTGTACACTCGGAGGTCCTGGGTTTGAGCGCTGGGTCTGGCCAAGTATAGTTATTGAGTCTTTCTGTATAGTAAGCCTCAGTAACAGCCTGGAGTTGCGAAGTTGGCGGTGTTTCACCCCCGTGCCCTGGAGAGCACGTAAAGCCGTCGGTCCTGCGCCTTATCTCTCACCGGTCTTGTCGAGTAATCGTCCCACCGGAGTATGAGAGTGATAGGAATAGAGTGCACTTGTGTCTGCAGATACACTTGTGCACTATAATATTTCCTGCGCAGTTGGCTAGTCTCAATGAGATTGACGGTTGTGGCCAGGAGGACATTATTATTATTATTGTACTAAAATTAGTTTTTTTTTAATTTCAATATCACAGTATTTTAAAAGCTATAATATCATATAAATCTGCATTTAAAAAAGACATCTTTTGTCAATCATATAACATAAGAATTAATCACAATCTCCTAACCGATGTAATAGTAAAATATAAATAGTGTTTCAGAGTATCCAAAATAAATTGATGATATAATCTAACATAACATATTGTGATTGTTACATTAACTAATATTCATTAGCAATCAGTAAATAACCATATTATCTTTGTTTACAAGTATATAATAAAACAAAAACAAATTTGTATAAATGTAGAACATATCAACAACCATACAGATGAGTTTATAATTTCATAATACCTATAACCATAATAAGATCATATATTGTTAATGATTTATAGATATTGTATTATAAATATTATGTAATCAAACACCTACAATGTAAATAATTACTACATGGTATTTAGTTTCAAAGGAATAAAAAATAGTAATAATTTTATAGCAATATTTAACCTTCAAAGAATGTCCAGAACAAATTATTTACTGTACATAGTGTTTACTTAGATGCAAGAATTAGTTTCAAAATTATACAATTACAAAATAAGTATATCAATCAACATATTATATTGTGTTGATAAATACTACATATTTTTTATTCTTATTATAGGTAAAATTCTAACGACGCTTGTTATGGCATCATTTTTCCAAATACCGGACGCTAGCCGACCGGTACGAGGTTCTTCCTACTGAGAAAACACCTGCAACGTCATAATGGCAAGTCTTTACCTTGGTTCCCTTGCCCTTTCATCCGCTACACTCCCAATAAACATGAAACAAATAAGAAAAAGAATAGTTATTTCCACATTGACTTCTTCAACAATACGTAAATAAAGTATAAATAAGCATAAATGCGAAATACCTGATCTGACACGCCTGCTGACATTGGCCGCGATTTAAGCGTATTGAACACTTTTCAAAGTCCTTACTCACGACAATAACAATATTAATCACATGTGTTACACTACACAATGTCCAATTTGTCCTATAGTCACTTAAAAATAATAAAAAGTCTATAATAAAGAAAGAATTGACGAAAGTCTGAAAAGGAATAGGAACGAATATGGACGTAGCAATGGCGACCAGCCTGTGTTGCTATCGTGTAAAAAATAAAAATTAATTAATTTTCATGGCAATTATTCAATAATACAGTAGGGTAACTTATCAATAATTTGAATTTTGAGTTGACAAAATATAAAGATAAATAAAAATGCTTGTATTTGAAAATCAGTAGGGTAACTTATCAATAATTTGAGTTGACAAAATATAAAGATAAATAAAAATGCTTGTATTTGAAAATGTAATATTTTTATTGTATAATACATTTAAATAGCTTAATTAATTAAAATCGGTAACTTTAACAAAAATCACTTTTTACTAAAAAAGGCAGATATTGTTTTAGTTCCATTTGCAGCTTTTTGTCTGGCCTTTTCTTTAGCTGTTAATGTTTTAGGTTTTTTTATTTCAGATACAGAGGTATTTAAGTTAAATTTAACATCTTCATTGTCATTATTTTCTTGCTTTATTCTTTTATTGGTTTCTTTAATTTCTTCAGCCTCTGATTTTCTTTTGTTACCCAGATGTTCTGTTAACTCAGATTTGAATTGAAATTGTTTTTCTAACAGTTCAATGAAATAATCTTCAAGATATTGTGATATCATCCCATGTGCATATTTCAAGTAAAATTCTGAAAAAGAATTGTTTTATGAAGCTTTAGTAGTACAATAATTCATCATTTAAGTAACATACTATTTTAGTTATTTTTACCTTCATCCACATTTTCATTGCTAACATTACTACATATGAATGTAGCAGAAACAGCTCCAGCTGTAACATGAATACTCTTCTCCTTCAATGTTTTGGATAATCTGCGTATTTTGTTTTCAAGCCATGCTATACTTTTTTCTTCATTATATTTATATGCCCTAACATCTTCTGGTCCCTAGTAAAATTTTAAAATATTTACACTATAGCTCAGAATAAAGAAAGGAAAAATATACTTTGCCAACACAACTTTTGACTAAAAAATTATAGATTTCTTTTACAATGCTAAGAAATTCATACATATATCATACTTTTTAATAGCAATACCTTTAGGTCAGCAATAGCATCCAAATTTGATATGAAGTCAATAATTTTATGAAAACCTTTTTCAGAAAGCAAATCTTCCAATGGAATAGCCCTGCTTTTACACTGGTTCCGCAATCGGGGTAAAACTGGAAGTACATTAAAACTTTTCTTCTTAACACTGTTAACTTTAAAAATGTACACGTAAATCAAATATGAATAAAGATATTAAATTAATACCATTTAACTAAAATACAGGATTATATAAAAAAGCAGTATCAATGAGAGTATGCGATCAGTACTTCTTGTTTCATTTGTTTTTAATTTTTATGGCATAACAATACTACATATCTGTCATCAATTGTTTATACTTTTTTTTTAATTATGTATCCAATTTAATTGAAATAAAAAATACATTTTACAATAACAATAAGTAAAACAAACACACCTAAAAATAATGGATTAATAGGTGTTGTTAATAAGAGACTCCCATCTGATTTTACAGTTTCTCCAATAAACCATGATCGATAAGGTTCGCTAAATGTTATAATTTCGTAAATTTTGTGATTAACTTCGTCCAAGCAATACTTTGTGGGGCTGCCATGTGAGGGATGAGGAAGAGTTATAATGCTGAAGTTACTGTTAGCTAAAACTGACTCTGAAAACATGAAATGATTATTATTTACTACGAACATTCTCTTTAAGGCTTCAATTTCTTTTTAAAATTAATTTTATTTGAAAAGTTTGCCTTTGGTGAGAAGAATCCATGAATTCTCTATGTGACTTTTAGCTATTTCTTTCTTTTCACTGTTTAATGATTTATTTTTAGATCTTGTATTCATAATAACAAAATTAAAGTCAAATCGCAATTAAACCAACTCAACACCTTACAGTGCTTTTCACGTTTTATTCAATGTTTTCGCGCTAGAAATATTTAAGTTTAACTTTGAAGCATGGATGTGCTTTGAAGTTTCAATTTGACAATTGACAAATCACATCTACATAGATCAAAATTCAAATTCGAAAAAGTAACAACATATTCGTTTTAACGCATAAACCTAAATTAAGTTACGAAGTTTTCTTTCATCCATTTTTAATTTAAAAAAAATCTATTCAGCATGATGATATTATAATTTTTTTACTGGACTTCGTGAGTATAGAGAAGAACTGGTAATGGAATTTGAGAGGGACTAAACATATTTTGAAATTTTGATTAGGTTTATTAACGAAATATTTTTGTAAGAATAAATGATATAACGTAAATCTTTATATGAATCTTAATTTCATAACTTATTTATTGGTTGAGTGGATCAAGTAATAAAGAAATAATTGCAAATAAATAAAACCTTAGTGTACCTATATAAAACAGAAAAAAAACTGTTATATAAACAACGATTGAATATTTTGTCTACTGAAAACAATGTTATATTGTTATAACAGATAATCACTTAATTATCATCGGATCTAATTTTTTTATATTTATTATTTTTTTATGATTATTAAACTTGTTATATTACATACATACTTCTGGTATAATAATTAGTTTAGTATTTAGTATAACAATTTGTTTAAAGTTATTAAACATTAAAAACTTTTTAAACCTTATTTAATAATATATAATATCATAATTAATTCTTCGCATTACTGTTACAAATCATAGATCTGTATAATTTTTTTGTTGGTTTGTTAAAGATTACGCATATTTATAATAATCAATTTTTATAATTATAGCAAAATTGCGTTCTATATTATGTGTTTTGTATAACTTTAATTACTAATTCAAATTTTTACTTACGTTTTTAAATGGCATCCCAATCATATGTCAATTTGACTTGTTACTACTGTTGAAATGAGTGCTGACATATGACAAATGTCAATAATATTGTAAATTGTAATGTTCTCATTCACTGTTCAATACAAAAAGTATTATTTTAATATATTTATCCATTAATCCGTAAGTTAAGTATTAGTCATGAAAAATGTCTTTGCAGCATATGATGTCAGTAGATTGTTATAGATCGGATAAAAGTGTGTTTATAGAACCAAATGCGGTATGTTTATGTTCAGTTGGTGTCCTGTCACTTACACTCCCAGTGTCGTAGTCCCCATCGATGCTTCAGTCTCGCATTTTAGTATTGGCATTGCCGCTGATACAACGCGACCTATGTGATATCATAACAATGTTATCGAACTCGTATTACTATCAGATATTAAAAAGACGATGATAATAGAATGAGTGCGAGGTAACAATTTATTACGTACAATATGAAAAATGAAAGACAAAAGTGAGTGATCGATTTTAGAAAAAAATTTAAAAATGAGACATGCATTCATCCGAAATGCAAAAAAGTGTTTCAGTGCAAGTAGATAGTGATTTTGCCCTAATACTTCCTAGCGGTGCATATGAGATTATGAAAATGGAGCCAAGATCTAAGCTTCGTAAAGTGATATTTTTCTGTTTACTACTTTCACTATTTGGTATGGTGGCATTTGGATATTTCTGTCCAGATCAGGTATTTATTTTAACTTTTTTTTAAGCCTATATCACTGATTTTTAACATTCATTATAACATTTTATTTAAAACTCATAAACTTTATATTTTAAAATGTGTTTATATAAATATTCTAAAATAATACTTTAACTGTTTCTTTATATTTAGAAGTATCTACATTTAATCTATACTGTTATATGTTACACAAATTGAGTTTAATAATTATAAAATATTTTTTTAATAAATGAAATTTTAATTGTAATGCACTGTTATGATACTTGTCCTCAAGTAACTTTGAATAAAGTTCTAAGAGCTAAAATACCATTGTACAATGCACATGTCCTATGTATAAAAAAAACAGCAATAAGATATACACTTTAAAATATAAGTTTTACAAAAGATCACCTTTTAGAAGTATCTTAAGTAAATGCACAATTTTAGCCTGCTTTATAATACTATTTCTCACTGCCATAGGTTGGATGGAAGCAATCTCTTCTAGGAAAAGTCCACCTTTGCAAACAAAAATTGTAATCTATTTCTGTATTTAATTTTAAAGTACAATAATAGTATATAAAATTCATTATAAATAATCAGTTTATTTTAGTACTCCAACTTTCTCGCTTAAGTGAAATATTTACTCATAAATTTATTATATGTATTTATTTATTTATATATGTACATAAATGACTCATATTATTGCTTTGTATTTATATATATTATTTATTTTATATTTATATTATTATTTGTAACATTGGATCTAATTAGTAACCAATGCTTTAAGTTATTATTAAAAATATAATATGTTTCTCTTAAGTTTACAATGTTTCTAATAATTTACAACAATAACAATTTATTTGGATGGTGCAATTGTTCAAATCAAAGTGTTTATTTTTTAAAGGTGCTTTGCTTTAAATTAAAGTATTTTTATAAAGATAAACAATTGATTTGTTATTTATTCTATAAACAACTTGTGATCTGTGTGTTAAAAAAATAGCCCTAAATTAAACTGACATTGTATACAATGCTTCTGTGAAAATGTTAGTCATGAATTCAATTTCCTTGCACTCCTAACCATATATTTCTGGCCAAAGAAGCACAACAAATTGTCACTACAGATGTTAAGTTAAGATCCAATTGTAATTTGTAAATATGGAGATTTATTAAAATACATCAGTACTAACAATATTTTTGACATGTTTTAGATTAGGTAAATATAAACCGCCTTACTCTACTCTTCTTATTTCTACTTTTCTTTAAATGATTTTAAATAGGTTTTTTGTTCAAAAAGTTTCATATCACATTTTCTATACAGAATCAATGAAAAATTATTGCAAACCAGTTGAGATACTAAATAGGGGTCTAAGTAAGAAGATACCCTAAGTACTACTTATGTCATGGCATTATATTATATATATATGCTAACAATATATAAAAATATCTATTTAATTAAACAAAAAAATATATTCTGAAATAGTATTGGTAGTCCATTTAATTAGCCATTACCAATAATTGGTGAATATAAAAATCGTAAAAGTATTATGGTTATAACGCTAAACATTTACAGATTAAAAAATGGCGATTTTTTTTATTTTCAAATACAGTTTGAAACATACAATTCAGGACTAAATAAATACATCGCCTGGCTTATTTAACAAAGTCACAGTCGTGGCTCGACGTCACTAATTAAAGAGGGTGGCAGCCATGCAAGTGGTTTTCATTTGTTTTTGCGTTCACAACCAGCAGTAAAAAAACCCGCTTGCAACCCCTTTAAGCAGCTTACGTTGGCTTTAGTATAAGGTAACGTGTACATTTGTCGCGGTCGCGAGCTTTGACCGATAAATTATAATTTGTATATAATAAGCAAATTATTATGTCTTTTTATAAATTTCTGTGAGGACAAAGTTTTTAGAAATTGGAACGAATATAATTGTTATAATACTGATACAATGAAATACTTGATAAATTAAATTGTTTAATAAGTAAGTAATTTTGTATTTATATCGGTACAGTCTACAGACATATTGCACTTAACCGGCGGACGTAGCGTCTTTGCCGTTTATCAACGTTTGAATCATTTTGCGATTTAATTTTTAACTTTGTTAAAAAGCTGTTCTGCCTCAAAAGAATTTACTACTTTTTACCCGTTTTGATACGAATCTCTATACTACGTCTGTGGAATCCTTTTTAATTTATTTTTTTAACTTGGGAAATATGGTCTCATCCAAATAAATGCACCTGATTAATTAAAAGGTAGGTAAATGTTTGTGAAACATGTGAGCGCATATTTTATTTTTCAATCCTGTTTATTTATTTGCACTGAATGTAATTGCTTAAGGAATATTTTAACACTTTTTTCATTAGTAATTAGTGCCGTTGTTAACAATATTTTATCCGCGGCTCCGCTCGTAAAAATAGCCCGTATCAGTCTCAGCAAAATCGTTTACCTGAAAGTAAAAATCCTAAGCCACGGAGTTTTACTTCAATTCTTTATTCTGTGGGAACGCTTTTTCACCAGAATAAAAAAGTTATCCACATCTTTTTCACGTGAATACTGTGTTCGCCATTGAGTATTTAGTTGTCTATATTTTAGGCCACAATAAGGGTTTATGAGGTAGCTATTTATTATGAAATCACTTAGACACTTCAATTTTATTTAGTCACCGTAAATGTTACAAAGCTATCAGTGATTTAATAATATTTATTGACATGAAAAAATTAAATATGTTGGAACATTAATTAACACACAGAACCACCTAGTTCCATTATGGATATAGTTATAGATACCAGATAGTTGATATACTACACAGTATACTACACAGTACACATATTATAAATATAAACACCCATGACTGAAGTACAACCATTCGTGCTCATAACACAAATGAAAGCCCCCAGCGGGATTCGAACCCGTGACCGCTGGCACAGCAAGTAGGGTCACTATAAACTGAGCCAAACGTGTCGTCAAATTAAATGGATTAATCCCATTTTATTAATATTATAAATGCGAAAGTTTCGATGAATGGATGTTTGTTACTCAATCACGCCAGAACGGCTGAACGGATCTGGATGAAATTTAGCACAAAGATAGATTATAATCTGGAGTAGCACATAGGTTTTTTATCATGGAAAAATGTAAGGTTCCCGTGGGATACATTTGTTTTTCCGTTACATCAGGGACGAACGAACCCGAGCGAATCGAGTGTGAGTTGCTAGTTTATCAAATAATTTAAAGTTTATAAAGGAAACAATATATAATATCCACTGTATCATAACTAAAAACAAGTAACGGTATCTGAGAATCAATTCTTATAGCTTTGTTGCCCTCATCGAATTGGAATAGGATCAGCCATATACGGACACTCGCCGTTCAAGTTCCATATTGGATTGTTTCGAACACGTCCTCGCTCATTGGCGATGGACATCGCGCCTCTTCAGTGACTGAGTTAATATTATTAAATATACATTATACAATATACATCCTATCGTTATGAAATCCAAAGGAACGTTTAGCAATTTGATTAGCATTAGATTGTTATGTGTTATCACTTTTGATATCATATACTTAGTAAGTGCTTAGTATATATAAATAACTTGCTGTGGACCGCGGCTGCGTTCGCGATAATTATCACTAATTATTCCACTCATAAAAATGTTAGATAACCTGTTACGTTTTTAAGAAATAGCCTATACCTATAAATAATTAAAAAAAAGTAGAATTGGTATTTTAGAGATAAGCGCGTTGAAACAAAAAATAAATAAATAAATAAACAATCTCATAAGTCAAGTATTGATAACCAGATAAAATATTTATTTTTATGTTGCCTCTTATTCTATAAATGAGTTTTATCTAATAATTTAAATAGTTTATTATTGTTTAAGTGCGTTATTAAGATTCTTAGTTAAACTAGGTCGTGATTGACATGATTGATTTGATTTTCTAAAAATAATTTGAGAAAGTTCGACTTTAAGTAGTTAAATAATAAATATCTATTATATCATAATTCGTGGATTAAGAGCTTATGCTTTATATTTAAACAGTAATTATTATTCTAATCTATAAATTGTAAAAAAATCAGAGAAATAATACAGATAATAAATAAGCAAAAAAGGAATTGATTAAAAACTTTTTCGTTTAGTCTGTAACTCTGATTGAAATCAAATGAATAAATTTGAAATATATTAAGAAAACCAAAGAGATATTTCAGCTGCAAGAACTTCTGACAACTTTAGTGCAAACCAGTCATTTGACCCGAGCAACTCGCATTACCACTTCCAAGTTCCCCTTTTGGTAACACGCTTAAAATTCACTTTGAAAGACAAAGAATTAAATTGCGATTTTGCACGTTGCGTTGTTTATGCGTGGTGGAAAAGGTGACGTTCCTCTTTTGGCGTGAATGAGTTGCGAGGTCCGAGTGCCTATTACGTATTGTGTAGTGCATTGTAACGGATAGGATAACATCTGGTCTGGCGTTCACCCACGATATATTGCCTCAACCAACGCCTCATGTATAAAAACTAATTCATTGGCCACGTTTTAAATACCTGGTCAATTTAAATTGAGTTTATTATTGTTGAGTGAAAAGTCTAAATGTTGATTAGATAAAAATAAACTATGGAAGAAGCTGACCTTTCCGACTGAATAACTTTGTCATTGGTTTTATCTCTTTAGGTGATAAATGTAGATTGATGTCGTCTCCTATAAGCTTTCTTACGGGTGTTCTATAAAATAAAAGCTTTAAATGAATATTGTGTTTTTTTTTTATTTTTGTTGATATAAAATCAGACGTATGCATTTTTTTTCTTTCAAGAAACCTTAATTAACACTTCCAGGTAAATTTATTAGAAATTAATTAAACGTCTAAGAAATCTATTGTTAACTGTAACGCCGGCGTGTCCGCGGTCGTGGAGGGATTATGTTATCCTAATGTAGTGTTTTATTTAACTTCACATAATCTTCAAAAATTACTGGTAATAATATATTATATACAGTATATAATTTAATGAATGAAAGAATGAAGTAT